GCTCCAGGTTGGCCAGAACCATCATAAGCTCTTCCCTGGAAACAGGGTTGTGTGTCTCAGTGTGTCTGAAGTTACCCTGTGGAAGACAAGCTATATTGAAGAACTAGCACATGTCTAGAATAAATGGTAAATACAATAACAATACTCAGAGGGCATTATGGAAACTGGTGCAATTATAAAGGTTGAGTGTTCCTTGGGACCAGAATTGTTTTGGATTTTGGAATACTTTTATTTGTGTGTATAGAGTACCTAAGGAGATATCTTGAAGATAGAACCCAAGTCTAAACATGAAATTTATATTTCATATATATATTATACACAAATTGAAGGACATTTTATACATTTTATGCATGAAATTAAGTTTGAGGACACTGAACTATCAGAAAGCTGGGGTGTCAGTATTTCAGCTACCCATCAGAACAATTTTGGACTTTGGATTTGCAGATAAGATGTGCTCAAGCTTTACATCACTTTACAGCAACCAGTGGGTTCAATGCTTGCATGTTATTGTCAATCTGAACTGACCTCCAACAGCTGGAGTTGCCCTTCATAAGTCTCTCCAGGAATAGGATAGTTGCCTTCAAGAAACATAATGCTCATTTGGTTTCCCTAGGAAAGGACAAAAGACATACCAACTATTAAACTGAAGCACTGTTTAACGGAGTACCATTTATCCCAAGGAAGGAGGGCAATGCAAACTGTACCTTGAGAATCACATCAGGTCTGGATTCCACCGGTATGAACACGTCGCCCCTCCGAGTGTCTGAGTGCAACTGATAGCGCAAGTACCCACCATACGATGAAACCTGCAATTGGGGGCAAACAACAACATTTAGAAATTCTTAAAACCTTGACTCCTTAAATCAAGATTCTAGGTCAATTTCTGCATGGGTTTCTCTCAGCAAAGCACTGCATTTCTTGAAGTTTGTTTTTAGTAGTTTACATGATTATCTCAAACATAACACAAAGCAGCAGTACTGGCATAATTAAATGAGCAGAGAGAGCAAATATAACTCCATGGTATTACACTGCAGACCTTACATATGTATCATTGCCCAATGTTCTCCAATCTATAGGAATAGATTTTTAAGGGAGAAATGGCTGCAGAGGAGGAAAAAGCATAAATGGGTTGCTGTGAGTTTTCCAGCCTGTATGGCCATGTTCCAGAAATATTTTCTCTTGATGTTTCTACCACATCTATGGCAGACATCCTGAGGTTGAGGGGTCTGTTTGAAACTAGACAAGTGGGGTTTATATATCTGTGGAATATCCAGGGTGGGAGAAAGAACTCTTGTCTGCTTGAGGGAAGTGTAGATGTTGTAATTAGCCACCTTGATTAGCACTGAATGGCCTTGCAGCTTCAAGGCCTGGCTGCTTCCTGCCTGTTGGAATCCTCTGTTTGGAGGTGTTAGATGGCCCTTGATTCAGCTAATTTTGACTACTTTCCCTCAGCATATCTGCACAATCGTGTTACAGGTGTGACCACCAATGCAGTGCACCAACAGGATTTTGGCTTTAATTTTGACTCATAATTCAGCCACTTGCAAACTTTATGGGGTGGGGGGACAACTAACATCAGCCAGGGCCACTGTCACTTACCTGGTCTCCAAGATATGAACTGGGAGCATGCCAGTAAAGTTCCTGGAAGGAGTCAAGAAAATTCCGAAGATCTG